TTTGCTAAAAACAGATATAAAAATAATTTTTTATTAAATCATCGAAAAAATTTGTTGGAATGTTAAAACTGATAAGCATTGCTATAAAACGTTTTGATATTCTAACAATCATTTTGACTTTCGTACGAAATTATTTTAATTATTAAACAAAAATTATTTTCAGATCTGAATTTAGCAAAAGTGTTCTTTCCGTGTGGAAAATCCAAAAAATCTATGAAATAAATAACTATTAAACTAATAAAAATAAAAACAGCAAATTTTAAAAATGTATTAAATTCTATAGCGAGAACATTTGAAATCGTAATTTGAAGTAAAACAGTCACCAAAATAATTCGCAAACATTTATTACAATCCAATTTAACAAGCTAGCATGTTTATAATGCGCTTGCATAATTTAAATCAATAAAGTTTTCACAACAAAATTCTTTTTTAAAAATATATTTTTTTTAAAGATTTATATTAATTAAACTGTTAAATAAACTGTTTCAATCAATTGAACATAATTGAAGTAAAAAGTAATAAATTCAAAATTAAATAAACAAAAACTGTTATCTTCTTGTAGATCAGGTGTCAAGTTTACGACGATTAAGTATCTCTGGATTATATATCATCATCTTTTTAACACGAGTTTTTTTATATATTTAAGTGAAAACAGTGGTATTCCCAATGACACAAATTTCCCAACCTTAACGACCACTTTGAATAACTACATAATATTCGATGACGCATACAATGCACATTAACGTAAACTTGACTGTCTGATAAAGCATGATACTGCAACTTTTTCAAGGACTGACTGCAACGTGCAAATGACAAATAAGCGCAATTACGGGGAACTTCAACACAGTGAGAGCTTATCAAACATTAAAAAAGAAGATTAATCATTATCTCTCAAAGCGAGCAAAACTACATGGTTTCTTAGAAAGATGTGAATTCGATATGATCTACCGCGTGACCTGCAATATATTTTTATATATCAATAAATCCAGAGATAAAAAGATATTTCAAAACATAGCAGAACGACAGCAAATAGTCGTGTACAACGGAGACTTATTAATAAAACAAAAAAAAACAATAATGAATAAAGATCAATCACAATTATCTGTAAAAGAAAGAAATTTGCACGCTGCAGTTTTTCAATAGTCATTATTTTTCAATATTTCCTCTGTTTTTACGAATCGTTGTTTACAGATATGTTTAATGCATATCTCGCATAATCAGCGAGACGCGCTTTTATCTTGAAAAATATTTAGCGTGTGCAAGCGGAAACTTGTATGAAGTTCAACGAAAGGCAACGAGAGATCGATATGTCAAGCCAGAGGAGCGTGCACGTGTATTTGTCTTATTATCATGGCGTTCATAAACTGCACACGGTCGCGATCATACGGCGTTTCGCAAGCGATTGTAGCAGTGTGCAAAATTAAATCGGCAAACATTCGAGGTCACTTCGGCGCGTAACGGAACAGCTGACGCACATGGAAAGCCCCATATTCCGCAAGAGAGATTAAATACGACTAAAATTTCGTAATTCCCGTTTTAAAATTTTGTTTATCGCATTACAGTTCCGAACGCAATTTCACGGCGGTATTTTTGCGAGAGCACCGGCTCATGCATGAGTGCTGTTTGTCTGTCGGCGCCAGTGGCGAGTCATCATCCGCGTGTCAGGGCAATG